CACATGTACATCTACTACATTCCCGTTTACATTACAGTCGATACATTTTGCATTTACTGTGCACCCGTCTACCACAAATGTGTTATTCTATTTCATATATTTTGTCTTCCATCTTCGGATTTTCATTTTTACGTGCGTGGTTTTCTTCATTTCTTCATATTTAATGAGCATTGTTGGAGGGAGCCTGAGATCTAAGAATGTTATAGCCAACGACCTTCAAAGCGTTCACTTTCTTTACGGCACTATCTACACGTCAGTGTCACAAACACACAGACGGTTAAATTACAGGCTGATGCAACAAGTAAAGATTATTAGATAGCGGCAACATTTTGACCGACTCTCTTGAGTTTGGTTGAATTTAGCACCTTCCTGCTCTGCTGTTAGTATTTTTTTTATATAACTGATGACTGCAGATTTAGATCACATGGACTCTGTAGTAGAGGTGATTGAGCAGGTGCCATATCTTAAATATTGCACCTTTTAAAGTGTAAAGCCATAAAATGTGTGAGATTGAATATAAATATTAAAACCAAAGTAAAGACATTCAGACAGGTGAAGCTGGTGTATTCAACATTTATTTTCTGTCATTTTAAAAACGGTTTGAGGACAATCAAAATATAAATACGTTTCTCTCACTCATCCGATCTCACACACACACACACACACACACACACACACACACACACACACACGCGCGCGCGCGCACACACACACACACACACACACACGACCCCTGCCACTGATTCCGATGTTTCAAAAAGGTGCAACGACTCTCCTTCACGATCAAACCTCATCATCCAGATTTCAGAAGCTACTTAAAACAGAGAGAGAGGAAACATTTCATACTGGAGCTCATCAAAGTGTCTCTTTACAGCCGTAGTACTCGGCTTGATATTCTTCATGTGACTTTCCGCAGTCACACGAGCTTCACTCCTGCTGTTACATGTTGTCTGTCGTAGTGAATCTAGAGAATAAGTTGTGTTTTGTGTCGACAGAGTGGTTTAAATCTGAAGATCCGGCTGTCTCAAGTGTCTCCAAGTGATAAGACGTATTTGAAAATAAAATGTACATCTCTACTGGGACAAAGTCCTCCAGCAGGCGGGAAGTGATTTATTCTATGGTTCTAGTTTTGTTCGTGACGGACAGAAGCAGAAGATCTCCACCACACGTTCAATCACAGGTGGCGAGTTTTAGTCTGATGTATTTTAATACAACTTCTTTTTAAGAAGCTCGTCATTTCACCGCCCCAAACTCCGATTTATTTTAATTCGACAGTGAAGAATTTGTTGCCTTTAATTTGCGGTTTATTTTATGTGTAAAAGCATGTACGATATTTAACACCTTCATGGTGTTGCATTCAAGAACACTAAAACATATGAGAGATGTGAGTGACACCGGCATTGGAAGAGATCCAACACGGTAAGCAGACACGGACGTCCTGTAGAGGACGACGGTCCTTCAGGTTCTTTAACAAGTTCAAAGACATTATGATCGACACGAAAACTGACCGACAGACCGCTGCTGTGGTGCAAACTGCTGTGATACGGAAGTAAACATCTGGAAGTGGTGAAAAAAACAGATCATCTTAAAACAGACGCTCGTGATTGTCGTGGATAGCCAATCAGAGTGGAGCGACATCGAATGAATCAACGACTATATCGATAATTAACACTTTTTACGTCTGTAAAGTGGCTTTTCTTAACATATGGAAATAAAAATTACTGATTTGAGGTAATGCACTGAAAAATGCAAAACCACCAGTGTGGTCTTTTCAGGAAAACAAGAACCCCAAACCTTTTAACCGACAATATCACCACACTGAGAATAAACAGAGAGGCGAACGTCAACATCTGGGTCTCATCTGGCGGCTCGACACGCGAGTCAGGAATAAAGTGAGAATCAAACCGACGTTTACGTCTTCTCGTGGTCTGGAGCTTCCTGTCAGACCGGTCATTAAACCTCAGCTTTCAGATGAGAAGAACACTTTTTTTGAAAGATCGTCATCTGAAAGCAACTGGTTACGTTATGACCCATAAACATTCCCAACTCCCACAGACCAAATGAAAATATATATTAAACACAACAGAGAAACGTATGGCAGTCTATCGGGGCACATGGGACTGCACTGTCCCATGGAATGAAAGAAAGAAGCAAAGAAGGATAGAAGGATAGAAGGATAGAAGCAGCCCTTTTACCGATATCACAAAAAAAAACAAAACATGTTTTAACACTTTGACTCAGTGCTGCGCTCGACGTGGTGGATTCACAAAGTGTTTAGCTGTTTCCTTCCGTTCTCTGAGGCAGTGGCGGATGCGTCTGTACAATATTTACACTCCTGAATACAAAACAAAAAGAGGTACAAATCATACAGAGAGTTCATCTTCAAATCGCTGCACGAGTGAACAAAAAACTAAATTGTGAAAAAGGATAATTTAGTCAATCAGGGAGGTAAGATCCCCTAAAACAGAGCCGGGGTTAAATGACTAAACGGTGCAGGTGAGGACGGACGCGGACGAGAGGGCGGTCTGACACTTCTGTTGTAGAAATCACAGGAAGCTACTGTGATTTGTGTAGATGTAGATGTATGACACTGTGGTAGACACACATTGGCCTGGCTCCAGATCTCACACACAGACGTGGCTTACCGGTCAGCCAATCACAGCTTTGCTCGTCACGATTAAGAACGTGGACGTCGTGTTCCTACGTCTCACAATGACGGCGGGAGAGAATTGGCACAAAAACAGAGTGTTGTGAATTCAAATCAAGATAAATGTCGCTTTAACTTCTCCTATCAACCGCTGCCACGGCTTCTCTGTTAACTGAACACGTGTGATATGGACATTATTTGTTATATCTAGTGGAAGAGCCTCGCACGAAGAAGGAGACCGTCCTCCATCAGACAGCGTCTCTTCTTTTCTTACTACTTATAACATCCTACTCACGGTGGCTGTGATGCAAGAGGACTGACATCGACCTGTGTCGGGTCGGTTGATCAAAATACAATCATCTCAGACACAATGAGTGTGTGTGTGTGTGTGTGTGGAGACGGTGATATTCTGTATTTTTCTGCTTTGTCAACAAATCCCACGAAAAGACGTGAACCAACAACAACGTGATAGTCGGTCTCTGAACACCCCCCCTCTGGTTCCTGCTGAAGGCTGATCTTAACCACTCAAACAGGAATAAATGCTGCATTTGTTGGGGACTATTTTCAGCGGTGGATTAATCCTGCTCTAGTGAGCAGCAGCAGGACGGTGAGTGTGTGTGTGTGTGTGTGTGTGTGTGTGTGTGTGTGTGATTGAGTCAGAATAAACTACAGTGTGTGTGTTCACAATGAAGGAAAGTGTCCCCCAGTGCAACAGTGAGACTCATCGGTGTGTTTTTAATGTTTTTGGACGACAACGGAGCGCTGTGACACAGAGGAATAAGATATGTGGATACAAAGACAAGTTAGCAGGATAAGTTGTTGCTGGTTTTGCTTAGTTCATGGGATTTGTTGACAATAAAAAGTATAAAATATGACCAAATTTATCCTTAAAGGCGTCTCAATATATTTGTTGTATTGAGAGTCTGTGATTCTGCTTAAAAGAAATGTTCGTACAAACCAGGTTGTATGATTTTGGGTGACGTATTCCATTAAAGTCTCATCTTCGCCCCTCTGGATCCTCTAACGGACATTCAGTGTGGCGGCGGTCGTTAAACAGGAAGTGAGCAGGAAGTGAGGGAAGGAGGTTTCCTCTTTTCCCCACCGAGGAGCTTCTGGAGGCAGACGAGGCGTCGTCGTCCTCTCTGATTCTGAACCCGTCGGCATTGAAATTAAACAGCGGAGAGCAAAAAAAAAACCCTGAAAAAAAGTCCCACAAGTTCCTCTCCGGTGCTTTAGAACCTCTCTCTGTGTTCTGTCACTCCATCTGACAGAAGACAGAAAGACAAACTGCTTCCGTCTCCGTCTGTCTGTCCCTCTTCTGTGTCCGTCTCTTCTGTCCGTTGTCTCGGTCCGTTTTGCACCGTGGAGGCCGGCAGGGGGGGTCAGTGTGGGGGGGGGGCGGCGTTAGGACGCCTTGCCCAACTCTATCTTCTTCTGGATGACCCGAGCCGAGTGGTAGATGAGCGAGTCGATCAGACCGGCCACTGCAGGAGAAGGAGAGTCAGATTTCATCCGCTGCATTTGGATTTCTACTCGCTCTCACGCGTTGTTAGTCTGCGGTACGTTATGATGTCACACAGACGCACTGACCTGTAAACACGCCTCCAATGATGGCACAAACCCCCGTTAAGAAGTGTGTGAATGATCTGAACAGAAAGAGAGAGAAGATGCATTTAGTAAGAACATTTAAAGAACAATCTTACCTTTATTGCCGTGAATGTGCATCCTCCGGACAGATTGGTAATTCAAATTTAGCTGTTAAATCTTGTTATTAACGTCACTTAAACCCATTTCCCCTTTAAAAAGGCAGATTGCAGCTCAAGCGAGGACACTTTGTTATTCTGATCTTAACTTTCTCGGACTAGTTTTCGTACGGTGGGCTCAAACCAGCGAGCCACATCTGATAACTGTGTGACTGAGCAGTGTAAACATGATGAATGTGTGTAGTGTAATGTGTGTAACTGAGCGTGTGCTTCATGTAAATAGTAATTAAAGCCCCCCATAAACACCATACAAGGCAACGCGTCCTGCAGCCATACGTCCTACATTGAAGTCCTGTTTTCAGAGATCCAGAGAGGAAAATCTGTCATTTTAACAGCGTCAGAATGAATAAAATGATTTAAGATGTTTGCATTGATATCATGTTATAGCACCAATTTGAGTTAATGGTGATATCGTCAGGCTATGAATAAACTAAGGAGGATATTAGAATGTGAATTGCAGAGTAAACCAGGATGATGTTATGAAGTGTAATTTATATTCGTTTTTCAGAGTCAAAATTGCTTTGATAATAAAAGTTCTGCTGAATCACTCGTACAGTTCTGTTCGTATGAGTTGTTCTCAGTGGTGTTTTACTGCAGAGACTCCGCCCTCTTGTGTAGAATTATATTTTCTGGTTTTCTTCTTATTTTACTTATTTATTTTAAGTTTCCGGGCGTCAACCTCAATAAAAAACGAAGCGACCAGCTGCCACAACATGACGCACGCATCCAAGAGGAAGCTACCGAAATGGCGAACACGACGGCGAAAGAAACGCAAATGCAGCGAGAGGAAACGCCGAGCGGACGAAACTGGTTCCAAAAGGACGGTGACCCTCGTTGAGTCGAGGAGGAGCCATCTTTGAATGTTGTGTTCACAAACAGCAACCGACAAATGTTCCTCATCGTGCCTTTAAAGTGCCTCTTTAATACCGTTCTTGTATCTATTCATTCAGTCTCTGGTTGGTTCCAAATCTTGACTCAAGCCATATGAATCAGACACTGAGTGAATTATTCTTTTTCAGCCGGTTGAATGGAAAAAATATTGAATGAAAAATGTCTTGAATCATTTCAAACACTTTCCCCAAATAACTTAATCTCAAACTCAGATCATGACTGTAGGTTTTTTCTCTCTTCTCATATGTTGCTTCCTTACTCAACTGTTTTAAATTGTTTTTATTTATATGCGTTTGTCAGCCATTTCTATGTTGTAACGTTTTGTTTTAAAATGCTAAAGTTTATTATTATTTTCAATATTTAGGAGTTTAAACAAATCTGGACTCGAGTCAAGAGGCAGTTTTCCCGATTTCTGCGTCAACGGAAGTCTTCACGGTGCTCTAACGGACCTCAGCTCCTGTGGTCTCCTACCTGTGTTTCTCTGTGAATTTAACCATCATGGGCGACAGCTCGTATAAAACAAACACGCCCGGCAGGCCCTGGTCTCCTATCAGCCCGTTGGCCACTTTCTCGTGTCTGGTGACCGAGAACTGGTTCGTTTTTACCACCTACAGAAATAAAGAGACAACAAAACAGGTTAGATTCAGCCTGTTGCAGCTCTCAGGTAAACATGACATTAGATGGGGTGAGACACCTTAAAGTAAAGTCTCATGATGAAAAGAAAAGGATTTAACAGCACCAAGCGCTCATAAAACAATCAAACGCAACACTTCCTTCTAAATCTGTCACTTCAACATTTCGGAGTGACATGAAAGAGGACATTTAAAGATGAACTCACCTCTCCATCAGTTTTCACGTAGATGGTGGGAACAATCTTCACAAAATACTGGTACATCATTGATGCTGTGGGAAGAGAAAGGAAGCCCTTGTTAAAACTCAAATACATGTTTTGGGGTTTTGGTTAGTTTGTTTTTATTATTATTTTTCAGACTATGATATTTCTACTAAGTAACATTATGAATTAGGACTTACTTGTAATTAAGTAACTTTATACTATAAGACACCACTGGAGACTCTTGAACTGATTAAATAATTAAAATCTAAATAACAGCATTACTAAAATAAACCACTGGGTGGCGCTGTTTGTTTTTCCTCATGTTTCTCCTCGAGGCTCATTTCTCCTCTTTATCCTCCTCCTCCATCTTTCTCTCCTTCCGGTTATGGAGTTCTGCTAGAAAGACATTTAAACGCAGCTGAGCTCTACAACTACGAGGAATCCTCCAAATTAGGAACCATAATAAACCAAACTTATTTTAAAACACACACTTCAAGGTAAGGTCGTATTTACAGAATGCATTGATCCAAAAGAAACTATTTAATCAGTGAAAACGTGCCGTGTTTATGTGTCAAGGCCACAGGTTTAACGTTACACAGTGTTAGCATGACATCTAGCACGTCAGTTAGCATGCTAATCTAGCACAACAAACATATCTGGTGCATTTTACAGCATTAACATTAGTAACTATAATGCGGTATTGTATAGTTACCGTGTAAAAACTACGGTGAAGCAAACGGCTGGGTTATCTTTTCTTACACAACTGTGCTAGCTAACGCTAGCCTAGCTCGCGAACGTTAGCCTAGCTCACTGGCTAATGCAATAAGAGCGATTAACCTAAAATCACAGATTTAGCAACACAACTTAATCATTAACCAGCAGCTTAACTACCACATGTCTTTAGTCAAAGTTAGTTAGTATAGATTACCAGTTTAGTAACCACTAAATGGACTACAGCGACTGGTTAAATTAGTATAATAAATTACTAGTAGCAAGCTAGCTAGATAGGTAGGTCAAATGTCCGTCCCGTGAAGCAACATTACTAAGCGTCAGCTGCTAGTGATGAAACTACAGCATGAATAATGTAATCAAGGGTCTGGGCGTTTCTCCTACACATGTTTTAGTAATAGTCACATTGGTCTTGCTCAGCAACCTTCAGACCTGTTCAGTATTTTAGTTCCAGGTACAGATCAGAACTGTATCTCACTTCCTGTCTATCTCATCTCTATTTATTCTTCCTCTCCTGTTCCAGATGCCCGTGGCTGTAGGTCCATACGGACAGACCCAGCCCAGCTGTTTTGACCGGGTCAAGATGGGCTTCATGATGGGTTTTGCAGTGGGGATGGCTGCTGGCGCCATGTTCGGCACCTTCTCTTGTCTCAGGTGAGTCTGCACCCAAAACATTCTGCTTTTATAGGAACAGTAACTGCACATGTGGCGAGATTGAGAATGTGGACCTGGTTTCGAGTAAGACCAGCTGTTATGGTCCCAGAATCAAATTCTTACATCGATGGCCACTGCCGACATTTTCAATAACGAATGTCATTATAACCCTTCACTTTGCTCTAAACTGTCAGCTCACTTTGGGAGGTGGTAGTTGAATTATTTTCCATTTTCTGCCAAATCATTAACAACCTCTCTTTGCCTCCCAGTGACTGAAAAAACTGTAGGTTAAAAAAAAAAAAAGCAGATTCCTGTGAGCTTGCCCGACCTCACAGCAGCCACCTGCTGAGTTTGAGGCTCAGTGTGGTTGAGGGTTTGATTCCTGCAGGAGTCTGTCAGTTTCCTACGACCTACCAATGATCATAAATGGTATTGTCATGTAGTCCGCTGTATTACAGCCAGCGATGTTCGTTTAGTGAGTGTGCAGCGTACAATTCGGGGTGATGTCAAGAGTTGAAAAAGGTAAAATAGCATCAAGTTGTACTTAATTTAGTGCACTAATGGAGCAAAATGGATCTGAAGAGTAATTCAAAAGTTTCAATAATCGGCCAGACCTCTGCCTCGCTGTCCACATCTATTTTATCAGCAACTCAAATGTTCTTGGTGTAGTTTTGTTTGTTTTTTAAAAACGGAGCCAATCAGAGCTTTGTAGGCTGAATATTGACGTGAAACAAAATGGCTAACATGTTCAGTCGACACTAAACTAAAACTGTCTCCTCTGCCTCAAGGATCGGCATGCGCGGCAGGGAGCTGATGGGAGGAGTGGGGAAGACCATGATGCAGAGCGGCGGGACGTTCGGCACCTTCATGTCCATCGGGATGGGCATCCGCTGCTGAGGACGAGGAGGGACGACCTCCTGCACACAGTCACTCAGCTATGAGACTTTTCCAGTAACTACAACTATAGCCGTCTGTCCGCTCGACGCCGTCACGCTGTCAACCCACCGTCTAGTTTTGTCAATAAATATTCACATTCTTCAAAATGGTTTTCAGAGTGGATGTGTTACTTTGTGATGTCACCAGAGTTTCTCTGCTTAGTTTGTAATTCTACAAGAGAACATCGGTCTCTTACGATGCAGCTTCTCTCTGATTGTTGTAAGTTGGTGCAAAACGCAGCGATAGAAATAGTCTCTCACAAGGGTCTGACAAGAAAAACCTCAAGTTTAGTCCAAATGTAGGAAACGGGTGGAGTCAAACCAGAAGAAGGATTATTGTCACATCTCTTCTATTTGGGTTAAATTCAGCGTTTCAGTAGTTTTCAGGATCCGGTGCAAATGTGCATTTATTATTATGGACACTGTTATAAAACTTGTTATAGATGCACCCGAAAATGCTGCTCACATGTGCAGTAGTTGGGGAAAATGTACACATTTTGGGTAATGCATCGTCGCCCACGCAGATGAAGAAATTTATACCTCAAATTACATCCTCGGCTTTGAAAAATTGGACGAAGCACCGACCTGATAAAGTTCAGATTCAGTAGAATGATGCATTATTTTTTTAAAGAACTCATTTAGTTTGAACACTAAACTATGGTGCTACACTGAAGCTTAAACATTTAGACGGGGACAGACCTTGTGGCGCCGTGACGTCCGTCTCGTCCAGAGGGTTCACGATGCCGGGGTAATCTTTACCGAACGACAGGTGTTTTATCAGATGGGTCATGTTTATCTGCAGGACGACGGACAAGAGGGGTACACTTCAACTCTTCATAGCAGTTAGCATCAAGTAAACTCTTTATATTGTATTACTATGGACAACTGAGTATTTCTAAAATTATATAATGTACCAAACTAATATTTAAACAAGCAAAGAAAATAAACATTTGTTAGAATAGTTTTAGAAACAGAAACTAGCATCAGTTGAAATACTTACGTTGTCTAATCCGAAACTCTGCAGGTCGTGAACTGCAAAAACACAAAACATTTCACATCACTTCACTTGTTGATTCCAGAAGCTTTAAAACACACATTTAGTAAAGAAAAGGGAGGGAATGTCTCTGAAGCTGCAGATCTGTCAGAAATGTGAGTTATTGATCAGTTTGTGGTTGATTATTGCCCATTGATTCAGTTCATGTGCAGATGAGACAGCCAGTAAAGCTGAAGCCGACAGTCACAAACGCACACGTTCATGTCGGTGTTAGTCGCTGAATGTCACGTCTGAGGTGCTTTTCATTATGCTAACATGTCTCCTCGCTTCCTTCCTCCCGGTGAGGATGGAGGAGACACGTGTGGAGGTGCGGCATTTATATGTCACGCCAATCGGTAAAAGAGTTCCACGTAGGATCCACCCGTGTTTCCTCGCCGCCACAATCTCAGAGTAACAGGAGGAACGTGGACTCCAGGAAGCTAAGGTTAGCATTCTGAAAAGCACCCGCTGGTCTCCGCTGGCTGAGGCTCTGACCTCCCTTACATGTGGTTTGCATTCATAAACATCAGTGTTTTGAGGCAGTTTTAGACTTAAATTGTTACGACTTATCACGCTGAGACTGAAGTGATGTTAGACCGTACAGTCATGTGGGTTAGCGTGCCCTTCACAGGTCTGCTAAGGAGGATTTAACAACACTCAATATTAGAGCAGCTTCAGTCTAATAATTTTAAAAGGGGAAACAAACTGGATTCTCAAAATCGACGATCGACTTAAATTCAATATCTGTAAAAGTTTTCCTTTACTAAATATTTGTATACTAGCAGTACGTTGTGTCCATGTGTCATAAACAGGTAACTGTACAGGAATGAGCAGTCAGTGACGTTTCTACATATTTATAAGATTTAAGAAAGACTGCAAAGAAAGATGGACTTACTTTCCACAGCGTGCACTGCAGAAAGAAGAGAGAAGAGTCACTATAATGATGCAGGTAGACAACAAACCACGTTATGTTAATGTGTATGAGGGCTGCACAACTCTGACAAAACATTATTTTTCTTTATATTTCAGATTATTACTAATGAAATATTAAAAACGACCAGTGGCGCACGAGGACCCATCTTTTTATAACTTACCTCAGGCTTTCGTGCTCATCATTCGGTTGGTTTCAAAGTATTAAAAGTTGATTTACAAGCTGGAGATTTTACATAACGCCAGATATTACAGTGTGGAGGATTATGGTTTATTCTGTGGCAAAGAGAGGGAGCTTTTGAAAATATGTATCGTCTGTCAGGGTGGTCGTGCAGCCCCCAAACACATGAGACTTTAAGGTCAGTCCGGAGACTATGGAGGGAGTTTGGGACCAGAATGAGGCGGATTTATTTCAGCCGGAGTCTCGTTTACTGTCAGATCCTTCAGCGCGAGTGATTCTTGTCTCTTGTTTCGGCTGCTACGCGTTCAAATATAAGACCAGACGAAATCAATGTAACACGTTCAACCAGATTCATTTAGAGAGCAGAGGACGATGTGTTCAGGGAAGAAAAATAACAGCTCAGACTTCAGACACCTGCACGACTTTAATCAACCTGCCAGATTGATGTTTAAAACTACCTGAAGACTTCAAACTCAGTGGCCAAGTTCTCCTCTTTAGTAGCCAACTGCAGGTTAGTTCAAATTAGAAGCAGCTTGTAAACTGGCTCTTTTCCTGCCGAAGGGGCCGTGAGAGAAGATTTATTTGAGCATTTGTTAGTTTTCTTGCTCTGGTTTAATGTGCAGATGAGAGGAACTTTAGCAAGCAGGTGAGACGGGACGGTCAAGATAATAATAATAATAATAATAATAATAATAATAATAATAAAGAACAAAACTAAAACACAATGAAGGCAAACGTCGGCAACAGCAGTCAAAGGAAAGGAAGCAAAGAGGAGACGTGCAGAGGAAAGGAAAGTGTTTGCTGATGTATCCGGTGATAATGTTCTTGGCTTTAACTAAATGAAATGGTGCCGGTCAGAGCAGATGCATTTGGTTTGTTAGCTTCTGTTTGGTTTTGGGTGTTGAGTCAAAGAAATCCTTAATGAGGCTTTTTCACTCAAACAGATCTGGACAGAAACACTGACATCTCATTAAAATGGTCAAATTTTATTAACACTTGCATTAGCCTTAAAGAACGTTTATCAGTCAAACTCTACTGCACTGTGGAAACAGAGGAATGATGTCGTGTCATCGAGTAACGGAGGTCACAGACACGTTTTTTAAAAGTTAAAAATAGTTTTTTTTTTTTTTTTTAAATCAAACTACGCCGATTCTCTGATAAAGACTGAGATGTGGTTTAAACCTAAAAAAAACTTCAGCTCAGATATATATATATATATTTAGTTGTAAGTCTGCAGAATACACAGCAAACATTAGACTCATTTCAGCAACACAAGTCCTGATTTTGATCATTTGTGACTCGAATATCGATGACTAAGACTTGAGCTTTGACTTAAAAGTGAACGGGATCACCTGAAGAGTTAACAGAAGGTTTAAAAACGTATCAAACAACAGAAGCTTCAACAGAAGTGAACCATCACCATGTGAGCTGCTGCCTGTGGAACAGAACTGCAGCGCTGCACTAAACAAATACTGCGTCCAGCACCAACATCTTTATGATCAAACTACGATCAACACACTGAAACGTGTTCAAACAGGAATCACGCTGACTCAGCATGGAATCAGACCTGATAGTGTTTAACACCCTGAGTTGTGATTAATGAATGATTTGTGAATGAGTGTGTGGATGATGAATGGATGAGAGAACAGAGACTAAAGATAAAAGCACTTAGTAGTCAAACGTTTCTGAACACCCTTTATTATGGATTCTTATTACGCATTTTGGGGGTTAAGCGACGCACTCGTTGTCTATAAGTGTGCTCCGATTGATCGGCTGATATTTGTCCTAAATAGTTTGATCGGTGGTCTCTGTAAGCGCTACAGAAGACTTCAAACAGACCCTGTAATCGGCCGATACTGCTTCATGGATCGGTCCTGATATCCAATGTCATCCCCAGCATGACATATTTTTGCTTAACAAATGAATGCGACTACCCTGGACTACTGCCCCTGACCTCAGGCCCAGTTTCTTGTGTGTGGAGCATCTTCACCAGTAAAAAGATGCCGACAAAGACTAGAATCTTTTTAGTTTGTGATTTACTGCAAAGTCTTAAATCCAAGCAGGTCTCTAAAGTCTGTGTGTCTTTGAAGGTAGTTTTAAAAGTGTAAACTTCACCCTGTATATGTTCGGAACATGTACAAAGTGCTGCAGTTTGACCATAGAATAGGTATCTGGATGTCATCTGATACCGGGTGTTCAGAAGCCTTTGACTGGTTCTGTGTGTGCGCGCAGAGGACGAGGTCTCACCGTGGACATGAGACTGCTGGAAACTTTTTCCCGGAGCAAAGTGGAAATTTCCGGCCACCTGAGACACAAAGAGGAGGAGAAGGTAAATAAAACACAATCAATATAGTCACAACATTATGAGAAGGTTGTTCTGTTGTAAAACTTTTGGTCAAGATCAGCTATTGTCTTTCTGAAACACAAGCTTCCCTCTGACCTCCTCCGTCTGTCATCACACAAATGGCATCGTGGGAAACGATCAAACAGGTTTTTGTGTTATTGTCAACTGAGTTCTTCTTGTTCCTGAATTTTTACATTTCCACTTGTTAAACTTCCACATGTTCTTGTGAACATTTCTCCCAAACCTCCCGGACGTCCTCCAGAAAACAACAAGATGAGATGAGAGTCGTTCACCTTGTTGACCTCCAGGAAGCCGTAGACCTGGCAGCCTTCGTTCTTCTGCTCCTGCATCTTCTGGGAGAAGCCCTCCCTCTTGCACTGCTCGATGGTGTCGGCGTTCTTGAACGCCCAGCCTCGCCGCCGGTACGCCTCCCGCACGTCGTCACAGGTGTTACAGCATCTGCACACAAACACATAATAAAGGAGAAATAAATATTTATATTTTAAAACAATTGTGTGTCTTTTCTTTCTAACATCACACATATGTTATTGTCTTACTTGAGGTCTTCGGTCTCGGCTCCGTAGCAGCTCTCACATCTGTTTGGGTCCAGTGAACTGGGGTCGAACACTTCACCGTCGTCCGCCATACCGAGGTCTACGCACGACAACGCAAAACCAGGATTTAGTTTAACTTAAAAACACTGAAACTGTATTACAATCGTTGTTCACATACATGAAATTTGACTCCTAGAATTGAGTCAGAACTTTTGCACATGTGGTTCCCTGGATGGGTGTTTTTGAATGTGTTTTTGATGTTAGATGTTTGAAATCGGGTCTGTGGTTAACACAAGCTGAAGAGATTCTCTTGTGAATTCTGAAGCGTTTACGTGTCGTTATAAAGGCGTCTGAATGGGACAACAACACTCAGACTAATCCGCCTTCACAGCCTCGTTGTGTTTATACTCGCCCTCATGCGGCCGTGGTTAACGTTAGCTTTTTACTTCTGGTGATTGCGTCCACGCTTCAAAAATCATAAAAGCGTTGTTCACTTGTGAAAATGATCGCCGGGGGGCGATTGTGGGTAAGTGGATAGCAGGGCCATCTTTCAATCAGAGGGTCGGCGGTTCGAACCCCGGCTCCGGCTCCGCTAGTCGCATGTCGATGTGTCCTTGAGCAAGACACTTAACCCCAAAATTGCTCCCGTAGCTGTGCCTACGGTGTAGAAATGTGATAGACTCTGAATTGTAAGTCGCTTTGGATAAAAGCGTCTGCTAAATGACTGTAATGTAATCTTACATTACAGTGTAATCTTGCTGAACGTGTCAGTATCACAAACGTTTGTTCGCCACAGAGCTTATTTTCTGCACTAATCCCAAAACGCAACAGAAGAATCCCTTTGGCTTTTTGTTGAGGGAACCAGTGAGACGCTAACTTCCTGGTTGGCCTACAAAACTACATCTTCCCTGCAGCGCTCTATTCAGCAGCACTGAGCTGCTGTGTCATCTGTTAAAGTGCTGCGCTGTCAAATCAAACACATGCAGCTAAACTTTCCAGCTCGACCACCTCGCTGTGTGCAGCTTCTAGCGTTCTGTTAACTCCGCTGTTTACCAAAGGAAGAGGAGCAAACACTCACACCGGCCTTCCTAAATCCTACTTCTACGACTCACATGTACCTGTAGCCATCTGACCACATCAGTGTACCGCCTGTCGACCCTCGATGAGAGTCCGGAGCTCAAACGTCAGAGTAAAGTCAAAGTGTACCGTGTTTGTCTGCCTCGAGGGTCACAGCTTTCAGGTCTGTGTCCAGCCGCTGTTTGAACAGATTGTGTTCCACGTCCAGCTGCTGCTCGCCGGCCACGTCCATCGCATCTATACTGAGATCTGAAGGGTTAAAGAACGGCAGAGGGTTGTTTGTGAGCGACATGTATTTGTTGTTAGCGTGCAGCTAAAGCAGCGAGGTTAACAGCGGTGCTAACTTACAGGCGCAGGGCATGTGTGGGAAAATGACGTCGATGTTGATTTTCAGTTTGTCTCCTCGCGACGTGTCGACGTAAAGCTCGGGGTGAACCTGCAGCGAACAAACGTTTTACTTCAGTCACAACACAAACATGTCGATGCTGATGCACGGTCTAAAATCTATACATTTTAACAGGATTTTCCTCCCCAAAAAATAAGGTAAATACGCTCATACTACACTCCTACTGACCTGACTAGATACACAACCTTTCACTCCATGAAACAAAAGACGCCGACTGACATCAGCTTATCTCTGTTGAAGTCTGATTTAAAAGATGTGCAGTCTACGACTCTCTTACACACTTAGAAATTATGATACATGGGTCATAGAATATTATATAATAATAAAAACTACCACAGTTAACAAGCCAGCAGCGACTTAACATTTACATTTTAGGATAATGTAACGTTGCATAAGAGTTTTGACCACTTAAGTTGTGCACGTGCTACCTTGTGACATAACCGACAGCAGCCTGTTCAAAGCACTTTGGTCCATAAAGAACCATTTGAACATTAATACGATCGTGGACATATTTCAGCCCTTTCAGGTGGTAAAGTGATCAGTTTTGGGGAGCTCTGGTGGATAGTCTATCTGCTGTGAATGTCAATAACTTCTAATAATGTAATCGCCCAACGTGACCTTGTGAGTGAATGAGCTTCCTCACTGTAATCTGGATAACCACACACGGGTTATTGTGTCACATTTAATTCCACCCGGAGAATCCTCCCCAGTAAAGGACGTGCGTGTGTGTGTGTGTGTGTGTGTGGTAATCATGTGCTGTGTGATGAACTCACCTCTTTAGTGAGATAGTACTGCAGCTCAGAGATGAACAGGATCAACATGATGACTCCGCTGATGACCGTCACTGCACAGACACAAAGAGGAAGTGTGTGTGTTACAGCTGAGACGAGTTGTTTGACATCAGTGGTTAAAACATGCACCACCACTGGTATCAGCCTATACAGGAAGTATGCGGAATAAACGGCTGAAAGTAAGTTGATATCACAAAAGTATATTTTAAATATATCTTAAGTCTATATTTGCTTTTCTTATCATTAGCCTAGTTGATATGTGGCTCTATATATTGAATTAAAACAGTTTAATGTGTCTATTCTGCATAAAATACAACGTTATGACTGTAACAAGTATTAATAATACAGTTTATTTGTATAGCGCTTTAAAAAAGGTACTCAAAGACACTTGACATGGTAAAAACAGAAACAATAGAAGTAATTAAAATAAAAAACAAACAGATGACATCATAACAGTAAGGAACAACGCGCGTGTTTAAAATATCTTTATGATTTGTTTGCAGGAGGAATGATTGAGTTAGCCTTGTTGTTAGCCGCAGCAGCAGCTAACACGCAGCTCTGACAGATTAAATGAATCTAATTAAAACAGGTGTGAAGCGGCTCACCGGTCGCTCCTCCCCACGTCTTCACTCGGAAATCCTCCAGAGTTTTGGGATAAGCGTCAAACTGTTTCAGCTTATTTAACGCGTCCATTTTTGTAAGCCACAGAAGCACCGCTGAGCACAAACGTTACCGACAGATTCCTACAGATACACACATCAGTCCTCCGCTTTCACTTCCGGGTCACTCACGTGGCACGGTTCAGCCAATCAGAGCCGGCCGCGTTATTTAGACCTTTTTTCTTTCTTTTTTTGACGAAATAACATATTTAAATACACCTCAAAAATAACGAAAGTAGTAGAAAGAAAACCTCGTCAAAATCAGATTTCATTAAACAGCTTGAATTGAAGTGGATGAAGCAGTACTTTGATATTGTACTTTAGTAAAAGTAGTAATACCACACAATGGAAATACTTTGTGACAACATGCATTAAAAGTAGAAAAGTATTACCATCAAAATATACTTAAAATACCAAAAGTAAAAGTATTCACCATGAAGAATTGCATGGAAGATTATAAATTAATTTGGAATAAATCCAGTATTTTAATTCATCTTATTCTGAAATAGACCATTCTGCGTAATGAGTACTTTTACTTTTTAGTGAAGTATATTTTGATGCTAATACTTTTCTGCTTTTACTTAAGTAAAACCTTTAATGCAGGACTTTTACTTGTAACAAAGTATTTTTTAAATGTAATATTGCTACTTTCACCTTAGTAAAAGATCTGAACACTAAACTTAACTTAAAAAAATAAAAGTAGAGTTAAATATTTGCCTCTGAAATGTAGAGTAGAAGTGTAAAGTAGCAGAAAATGGAAATACTATGATAATACCATGCCTGTACAGTTGTCATGTCTTTTTCAAACCTTATTTGATTAAAAACAATCCATAAATTCAAATAAAATTATTAACAACATAAACTATACATTATATTGAGTGCTTGCCTGTTTGTATTTTAAAAACACTCTTAGAGATCTGACCAGTAAACGAGTACAGTATGTAAATAACTAAAGACTATCTATAGTGAAGTAATGCAAAGGACAGACATGAGATTCAAATACTTTAATTAATTCGACTTTGTACAGGTTAGAGAACAGAAACTTATTGACATATTCAAACACTTAACATTACAAACGGATCCAGAGCAGATCTCATAACAAACTTCCTCAATACGGTGGATGTAGAAACCTATTTTTGTGCAAACATTAAATCCTGTGTTGGGTTTTTAAAGCAAACTGTGACTTTCATTTGTTAGCATTTGTTTTCCACAGTTGTGACATTTGGAAGGAAGGAAGAATAAAGACAGAAGCTGGTAGAAAGTGATGAATAAATGTCCACAGTTCAGAGTTCATCAGCATCACTCCTCCTCTTCCTCCACCTCAAGCTGCCGACGAGAGGCGAGCTCCAGCTCACCTCGGCCTTCGCTCGCCTTCACTCGACCTCTGACCCCGAGGTCAGCCACGGCCGTCTGAACCAGCTGCAGACGGGTTTCTCTGAGGGAACGTCTCAGCTTGGCCCGCCGGTTCTGAAACCAGATCTGAGAGAGAGAGAGAGAGAGAGAGTGGAAAATGAACGTGGCTCAGATCGCAGGAGAAGAAGCTTTAAGTACGTTTCATGTGGCCATTTCTTCTCACCTGCTTCTTAACTTTATACGCTCACACTCAGAATTGTCCCTTTTCTCATATAGTGTGATAAGCTACACTAATTGATCGTGCGAGAGACACAAACATGAATCTCATTGTGTTACTGGTTTTAGAGTACTGTCCTCTGTACCTTTTTTACACCCATTTACTTGTATTAGAGTATTATTAAAGCTAATATGAGGAACTTTAAATTTGTGTTGATTCTGGCGCCCCCTGTGGACTAAAGTGGTAGTGTTTCTGAGCATCAGAGTCCCTTTAGGAAACCTCTAATTTTACTGCAGCAGGGTCTGACAGTCTGCTCCTCTCAGTCCTGGTTCAGGTTCTCCCGTGCCTCCCTTCCCTCCAGCGGGTCCAGCAATATGTCCTGGGTCTCCAGCAGCGTGGTGTCGCTGTTGGCTCCCAGAGAGGAGAAGCTCTGCTCCTGGAGGAGGAGGAGGAGGAGGAGGAGGAGACGCTGCTGCTGCCGGGAGCTGAGCTCTCCTCCTCCCTCCGGAGCTCCGGATCCGGGTCTGTCCACAGTGGACCGGTCTCTGCTGGAGGCCCTGCTGGAGTCTGAGCTGAAGGAGTTTCTGGTGAACCTGCATGATTTCATCTGATTTCACCAGAATCCGACCCGGTGGCTCCGATGGCGAGCATTAAGAATAACTATAGAAATAGACCATCTTCTCTCTGATGGTCTCTTTACTGATGGAGGTCTTATAGAGGATCAGGATTAAACAGAGACTGTTTCATAACCAGATAAAAGTTCCTCACAGTAACTTTAAAATGCTTGAAAAGGAAAGACTAATTAATTTGCTCAATTTAAATATTTAATGGTAATTCATTAAGCTTGTCGACACTAATTCGACTTTTAATTAAGCCAAGACCTGTAACACGGCCTCGGTGAGGTTCTCTTTTAAACACCAAACATGTGTCCTGGTAGTAAAGTACGTTTATGAACCATTACGCCTGGAAGCATCACAATACTCTGTTGGATTCAAACAGTTTGTGATAACTTTGCACTGTGGGCTATGTGAGGTTTCAGAAGCAGTAGAGAGCTGTCTTCCTTCCAGGGTGGAGTTCTCATCGTGTGCTGTATGAACCTGTATTCTGTCCTCGTCCAGGTCCAGCCTCCCTGCCAGCTGCTCCCTCAGATGGATACCTGGATAACAGTTCACCTGAAACACCGTCTCCAGTACATTCACCTGCACATCAGAGAGATCAACAGACGGGTCCTCAACTTCATGGCATAACCGAACTTAGTGTTGAATGAGGATCTATTTGTTCGACTGATTGATTGACTGATTGATTGATTGATTGATTGATTGATTGATTGATTGATTGATTGATTGATTACCTGGCTGTTGGTGAAGGCGGTGCGCGGTCTGCGTCCGATGTACCAGTTTGATGTCGGCCTGGGAGAGTCCAGCTGATGATGATGATGATGATGATGATGATGTTGTTGTTGTTGAGAACACTTACCGTTTCCTCTGTGCTCCTTCTCGGCTCCGATCTCTGGATATAAACAAAATTTAAATACATTTTAACGGGTTGATATTTGCCTTGACCACCTAACAGTGATCCATTTATTATGTATTCACAAAATATAAAAGAGAACATTTTACATGATTTCTTTGTAATGATTACCTATTACGTGCTTCATTAAACACTGATATTTAGTTTCATTTAGGTTACAGTTCAGTTAAGTTTCATTTAGGGACAAAGAGACAATACTGTGATCCATCAATAGAGAAACTAGAGGCTCAATGAGAAAAGGTGGTTAAGAGTCGTTGTCCCAGAACAGCGTCTGTTAATAATTATCTCTGTAAAGCACTTTGTAAACTCTGTTTATAAAGGTGCTATAGAAATAAATGTATTGTTATTATTATTTCAGAGAGGCTGCAGGAGAGCTCTACATTTTCAACAGCCACGGGTTGAATTGGTTTGTCCAAAAACAAAATGCTAATTGAAATATTTTCAGGCAAAGGGAAATATTAGAAAACTGAAAATGACTGAATAAATATATCAGCAATTTTAGGTAAATTAAGGAAAATATAAATAAGGATACAGAACTCAGCAGTTATATAATTACACAAATGAATGTATTTATAGAAAAGCAAGATTTTTACCGTTATAATCATTTACAGGATATTGTGGTGCACTGTGTTATTTATTTTTATGTCAAATCAAATGGTGTTTGCAATAATAATTGAGCTTTATATACCTCAACTTAAATATTATAAATGTGTGAGCCATGGGTCACACATGCCACATGCCAATGGGTCAATTCAATATTTCTACAATTTTATAACTAAGCAATACATTAACATACACAATAATATCAGATTGTTGCTTCATAAATAAGAAAGAAACTTGGCTTTAAAGTCCAAACTCTTTGCTCCTCACCTGCCCAGGGTCGGTGGAGCTTTCGGCAGTTTCCAGGTCTTTCCGGCTCCAAACCCAGAATCCGATCGATGGAGAACGCCGGCCTGCTTTCTGCCGTCACGGAGGCCAGAGCGGACGCCATAATGATGGATCTGACTAACGGATCAATGAACAGCCCCGAGAGCAGAGAGCCTCCCAGCGTGCTAACAAAACTACTGGCAACAACCAAAAAACAAAACAAAAAAATAGTTCCATAAATCGAGTTTCTTTCAATATAACAGCTGGATGATGCTTGGAGTTCTCCACTGTGGACCTGTGCTCTGAATGGATGGTTTGTAAGTCTGAGCTACATGTGAAGCAGCAGGAAGACAAACCGCTGACTGCTGGTTTAAATGGGAGTGGAGGATTTACACTGGCCACCAATTAGAATTAAGAAGTGGTTTTTCCATGTGAATGAGGTTCCCTGAGGTTCCATACAGCGGCTAATCTCTGCCGTGTGTGTGTGTGTGTGTGTGTGTGTGAGTCACTGAGAAACAGCGTATTTACATTTTTAATTTTTCATTCAACACCTCTAAAAAATTAGCAAACTTTGCAGGACACAAAAACCCCATCTTGTGTGTGTTTGTTTGTGTTTTCCCTCATGTGAATCAATGTCGAGAGAGTATATGAGAAGCTTGTTTTTAAAAACAGTCACACAAACACAAAGCCTAATTCCACCCTTTTCTTCTGAATTACCAAAGTAGAAAATCAGTTTAGTTTTCACGGGAGAAGAATACGTCCGTCCTTCTGTTACAAGTCTGTGACGGAGCTTTAATCTAATAATAATAATAATGATAATGATAATGAGGGCAATAATAATGATCCGGGGGGATCCAGTAATGCCATTAGCCTAATCTGTGTGTGTTGTGATGCAGAAGAAGCTTGTAGCGACTGAATGCAGGTTGAAGCAGCGGGGAGGAAAACCTTTTCACAACCAGATTAGCTCCTAAGGAAGGCCCGAAGCAGCTTTAAACCAACCGCACACTTGTTTATTTATCTCACAATGAACAGCGGGATGAATGTAAGGATGTGATGATTACAGGCAGGAGGGGAGGGGGGAGTGGCACCCAAACTCAGCTTCAGTGTGATGACGTGTGGAATGGGGACACCGGGGATGTGTCCGTCTGTATTTTAGAGCTCTTTTAAGACAAACTAGTTATGCGCGTCTGCTATTAATCTCTAACATTAGTCCCTTCTACTCCTGTTCTATTTGTAACATAGCCTAACATTATGAAATACAAATTATGATTTAAGATACCGAGAGCTTTTTATTCAACAAATGACTGAACATAATTAGTTTGTTTGTGTGGCCCAGAGTTCAGGTCTT